ATCCAGGGCTACATCCAGACTTGTCTCAAAACTCAAACAAAAAAATCTTCAAGAAACCACTTTTCCTTTGTATGCATATAATGTGTGTGTCATATGGTGTGTGTATGTGTGTGTGTGTGCGTGCGCACGTGCAGAATAGTGCATGCAGATGTGAGGACAAGCTCTGATGTCAATTCTCAACCTCCGCCTCTGAGACAGTCTCTGGTGCTGCCCCAGTTGCGGTCAGGCTATAGGGTGCCAGGTTCTGGAGATCCTCCTGTGTGTCTCCCATGTCAGCACTGTGGTACTGGGATTACAGACGTGCTGCTATGCTGGCCTTCTCTGCGTCTACAAACTCGGGTCCTCACACTTTCACAACGCGCCCTCTGCCCACGGTCTGCCTCCTCAGCCCCAGTGTACTTGCAGTTACCATGCAAAGTGATGGTTTCACGGCCACAGTCCCTCTCCCCCTCGCTCCCTCTTTCTCTCTCACACACACACCATTACCTTTTGTTTTCACTCGTGCTTCTCTTCTCAATCCCATTCCCTCCTATCTTTTTTGTTTTGTTTTGTTTTCATGAGAGAGGGTTTCTCTGTGTAGCCTTGGCTGTCCTGGAACTCTCTTTGTAGACCCGGCTGGCCTCTGCCTCCCAAGTGCTAGGATTAAAGGTATGTGCTTGGTCCCTCTCCAGCTATCTTACTGATGCATTATTTCCTGAGATCTTTTAAAATACAGAATTCTAGGTTGATAGCTATTTTCTTTAGGAACCATGTAAATATTGTCTTCTGGGTTTTTGTTGTGGTTTTTGTTTTTTTTTTGTTTTTTTTTTTTTGCTGCTATTGAGAAATCAACTATTGGTCACTTTTGAAAAAGATGTTTGTTTTTATTTTTTTAACTTCTTATTGCAAGTTTTTTATTATTATGATATATGTCTACAATATGTAGATATATAGATAGGACCTCTTGTAGCTGAGCAGTTTGAACTCACTATGCAGCTGAGTATGAACTCATGATCCTTCTGTCTCTACCTGAGATCACAGGAGAGGAACACTACCCCAGCTTCCACTAGGTTTTTATTTCTTCAATTTTATTTTATGAAATTCCTTCCCAACTATACTTGCTCTGTGTATTTTCAGAACTTTGTTTCTTAACCATATTAAATATTTTATGGTCTGCATGTGATGATTTCCATAGAAGAAGTGTCTTGAGGCCTAATTCTATTCACTACTGTTCATGCTGGTTTGATGACCTTGCTTTCTAGTGAAAAAAATTTTTTAACTATGAATTACTTACTTTCCTTGGAATTTTGTCTGTGGGAGTTTTAAGTCTAGAATAAAAATCCCTTCCTCTAGAGCGAATCTGTGTTATTTGCCGTAGGCATCTCAGAAAGGACTGCAATTTTAGACATATTGTCAGCTTGAGATTTTATAAACATCCATTTTATATGAACAAAGCTTCAAACTCAAAGTTATTAATACCAGTGTTCAAGAGAGACATTGAGTTTGAGAAAAGCAATGTATTTCTCTACAGAAGAAGGAGATGAACACACTGCTTTGTCATCCCATACGGCAAGTGTAGCCCCTTTGGGACCTAATCTGTTTGTGAGAGAGGGAAGAGACCGCAATTGGGTTTTCCATCTTAAATCGTACCAAAAATCTATTCTTTGACTTCCAAGTACATGAGACTATAAATCTATGGAAATTGACTCAGCAAAAGTCAACGTCCTCAAAACCCAGTTGTTCTCAGTGCCTCATCTCTCCAGACCTCTGTCTCCTTAGTTTTTGACCTATGTATCCACGGTTTCTTTCCAGGAAATCAAGTCAGCTTCTTAACCGTCTACACCTGTAAGTTTGCCCTAATGCCAGATGAGGACAGTCAGCAGTAAAAGTGTGCCAGAACAACAGGCGTAAAGGATTAGAATTAATTTTCTCCACCCTTGAACATCACTTCTATATGCAAATCCTGCTAGTGATTCTCCATTTAATCTCTGACTTCCTCCCCTCCAATCTTCTTTAAAATGTTGATCCTTTAAAAAGGTAGTTGCTTTTTATATGGTATATAGAGTCCTTAATGCCTCTTTGGCAATGGAATATAATAGAACCTTACAAAGAAAAGTTACTTTTGTTTGTGCACTGTACACAAATACAGGTGACTTACAAAACTCTCTGCCACTCAGCAATCTAATGAGATAAACTACCCACAGTATAGAGACTCAAAAGAAAGATATAGGTGCAGGCACACGCACACACACACACCACACACACTCAGACACCTTTTTATTTTAGAATGGGCAGGATATAGTGGCAGATGCTTCCATTCCCAGCACTTGGGAGATAGAGGCAGGTGGATATCTGTGAGTTTCAAGTCAGCCTGGTCTACATGGTAAGCTCCAGGCCAGCGAGGGCCACACAGTGAGAAAGTCAAGGTCAGTCTTTCTCTTTTCCCCTTCCAGGAGCCATATGCATTTTTCCTAGCATGTCTTTGGTCCACAGTCTTCTTAACCAACTATGCCAATTCCTCACTGTTTTTTAAGTTTTTCCTGGAAATCCCAACATATTTACTCTACTTTGGATTTCCCTAAAGTCCTCACGCACAGAGTATATATTTAAAATAATATTTTAAGATGTACTTATTATATTTTACCTATATAAGTGTTCCGCCTGTATGCATTACTGGCACTACCTGCATGTCTTGGGCCTGTGGAGGCCAGAAGAGGGCATCAGGGAGCATTATGGACGGTCATGAGGCACCCTGCGGGTGCTGGGAAATTGAACTCAAGTCCTTTGAGAGAGCAGTAAGTGTTCTACACTGCTGAGCCATCTTTCCAGCCCCAGTATATATTTTAATTAACTGACTTAATTAGATACAATCCTTTATTATATAAAATTATGCTGTAAACAGTCTAACTTAAATTTTAATTTTGTTTTGAGACAGGGTATCACTATGTATCTCTATCTGGCTTAGAGATCCATGTCTCTGCCTCCAAAGTGCTGGGATTAATGGTGTGTGTCACCACACTCAGCTAGGATTTTAACCTAGGTCTGATTCTGAAGTCGGTGATTTTTCTAGTTAGATAAAAATGCCTTCAGTATTCCATTAATACTACTGATATGTATTAGGAGGCAGAATCTACAAAATCTGATGTAACAAAGCTTCATATCTAACTGGCTTACCTTGGTGGGTTGGAATCTTAAAAACAGAATCTTAAAACAGAATCTTAACTGTTTACTGCAATTCATAAACTTTACTCATTTAAGTGAATTTCCTAGGAAATCCCCTTGAAACCAGCACCGATTTTCCACTAAAGATAACAAGCTCTTCTGAATGTTATTACCCAGTCTCTGACTTGCTGCTCACACCACATTATGATCTGTTCTGGGAAATGCAACACAGGAAACCAAAAACCTAAAGGAATGCTCACACCAAGGCTAAGGAAAAGATATTAAATGCCTAGTTTGTAAGACTATTCTGGTGTGAACAGAGAACCAGCAAGCTAAAACACACCGTATTATAAGAAATTTAAGAATTTACTTTAGAGCTGTTCACACAGTCCTAGATTCAACTTCAGCTGTGATTTGCTTTGGGTTTGTAATACAGAACGGTTTTCTGAATTAAAGTGCTGTTGCCTCTCATTATTTCTAAATAATCTGTAAGAAATCAAACTGAATTATGAATTTAGTTGAATAATTTGAGCTTTTAATTAAAAAATAAAGAACTCACATGTCCTATAGACTTTTGAAAAAATGATTGCGTAATTACTTCTAGGCCAGATAAAGGCAGGCAGACTGGGAAACAGTCTGTTAACTCTGTTGTAGGACAGTGTTTGTCTCCTTACCTTTCCTGTCTCGTCCTTCATCAACACACACTGCAGACTTCCTAGGGCAATGCAGAAATCCAAACAAGAGAAGGAAGCACACTAAAGTAATGGAGGACAGGCTACAGGAGATGGACAGTGTCAGACATCATGTGGAAGAAAAGAAGGAATTATCACAATTAGCCACTTTGTTCAAGAGAAACCCAAACTGGTCATTTCAAAGGTAGAGGTAAGAAAAAAAAATTAAAGATCCTTTCCTTCTTTCCTTTATAGCAGGCTCCTTTTACATCAGAACAGAGGGAGGCTGAGGTTAACTTGGAAACTTGTCTTCAGAGACCAGATGTAACTTATGCAACAGAACAAACGAACAAAGAATAACTAAGACTCTTCATTCTAAAAATGTTAACGAAGAGGTATAATTATAGACTTTGAGAAAAGAAAAATAAATAAGCAGAAATGTAATATAGAAGCAGTCAGAAATTGCTCTATTTCTCCCAAATACACAGACTGTTAATAGGATCCTTGCTGTTTAGATAGTAACGTGACCAATGAGACATATGCATTTAAGTCTCCTAGTTACATGACCTTATACTCTGAAAGTAATACAAGTGTCACACTTCATGATGGGTTCTAGAAAAAGGACACCCAAAGGAGCCTTGCACATTTGCACAAGGCAAAATATCTCCTCCACTTCCACTGTGTATCTCCACACTAGGGAATACATTGCTGGAAACCCATCATGAGAGACAGGGGTTTCAAGTCTACAACACCTCCCAAATGCAAGCTGTTCAAGTGTGAAGTGCTCACATTAGCAGCTTGATTCTGTTAGGTTACATTTCTTCTTGATACAAGCAGTTATATAGATATAAAAAAAATGAACACCAAGATGGGTCCAGGAAAGGGGCAAAAGAGGATACAGAAAATAATTTCAGAATCTTAGTACAACCAGCAGCTTTGTTATGAAAATATTATAGGGTGAAATCTCTGAATGACAGATTTAAAGCATTTCTTTAAAATACTTATTTTCAACAAACCTTAAAGTCAAAACACTTCAGAGAAAGCAAACAATGTTTTTATCAAGGCTAAATTTTCTGCTAAGTTAGAACTCAATTTGTTTAAAATTTATTAATTTTTAAATTTAAATGATTTTGGCAGTTCTAAGAACATTGCAATAGTCTACCTATATTTGTTAAATAAGATACGTACCTCATATTCTTTTCTGCACACTTTGGAAATATCATTCTTTGAAGATGCCTAAAAGCAAACAAAAATCTTCAAAAATGCTGTTTCTTGTATATAGAATAAAACCCACAAATCTGTATATATTACTATATATAACTGTTGGTATAATATTCCTTATTTCATCAAGGAAAACTTATACTCAAATATTTAATTTTCCTAAAATACAACAAATCTTCCATGCTGTTTTAAACAAACAGCACTCAGGACTCGTTCAACATGCTGGAGCTTCAGTCTAACTTTTGTGGTTTCAATTTCACATAACAACATGGTTCTTTTGTTATTTTGGAAACTAGACGACTTTGAAGAAAATATAAATCAGAGGCCTTTTAAAAGGCCAAATTCCACTCTAGTGAATTTTCTTGTGAAGTTCTGCCAGGACACTTAAGATTTTGTGTTTTCTTTAACTCTTCATAGTCAACATTTTATACTGACTGCAGTGAGCCAGTTTCCTCAGAAAAGTACCACATATAACGGAGAGGGCAGCTGAAGAAGAACATGGTACTCCAGCCGGCAATGAACATGTCACTCTTCTGTTGTGCTGTCGACACATGTACAGACGAGGCAGAAGACTGATCTCAGGAAACCAGGAGCCTCTCCTCACAGTGCACTATGTGCTTCTGTGCAAGAGCAACTCTGCAGCCACGTGGTTCCTTCTCTACATGACAGTCTCAGCTTAGAGACGTTCCAGAGTCCGGGGTCTGGTCCCTTGTCTCACTCCCTCTTTTTCTGTTGTCTAGTCCCATGCACTTTATAACAAACGAGCTGATAAAGGGGGAGGAGGCGAATGGCCTAGCAACTGCTTTTAGTTCAAACCCTGTATAAGTCAACTTTCCCTGATGTTCGGAGGGAGCAGCAACTCAGGCTATAGTACAGTGCTCTGTGTAAAAAAACGGGAGGCTGGAGGTGGTGGCTCACCCCTACAACCCCAGCACTCGTGAGGTAAAGGCAGAGAACTGCTGTGAATTGGGACCTGTGTGATCTCCACAGGAAGTTACAGGCATCCAGGGCCACACAAAGACCCTTTCATAAAAACACAAACAAAACTTTAACAACAGAAGGGAAGGTGACATTGGCATCTCCCACATCCCAGAGAATGGTCTCTCGAACACACTTCAGGCTGTTTTCAGGTTAGCTTAAGCAACCATTTAAACAGCTGGCTTCCCAGGTAGGTCTCTACCCACCGAGTGGAATACAGAACCCAGCAAGCCAATGTTACTAATCCAGGAGCCACTGAAAACACAGACAGTGCAGAAATCAGGGGCCTGCTGAGTTGGAGCAGAGACAACCTAATCAAAGAGAAGCCATAGTTTACTAGTAGAGTCGCATGTGCCTTCAGAGCGGAGAAAGGATAGGAACACATGCTCAGAGGAAAGCCACGATGAAAAAGAGAAGGGAAGATGAACACAAAATAAGCAAACTGTATCACTGCTCTCATCCAGCAATACCCCACATTTACATGACCATTTGGTGTGGCTAAGCAATGATTCAGCATTTCCTGGGCAAAGGACAAAATGCCTTGAAGCCAAAAATTTTCTCTATGTGGCAAAGAGATGGAAGGAAGGGAAAAGGGATTAGTGGCTAAGAACACCAGTGTTCTACCAGAACTCAGGCATCAGGTATGTGGGTGTACACAGACATAAACACAGGCAAAACACCCACACACATAAAATAAATAAACAAGTCTAAGAAAACAAAGAGAAAGAGTAAGAGAAGGCTGAGGATCTTACACGCAGCAGTTGTAACAGAGAAACAACAAGCCTAATGCTGAATTTATCGTTTCTGAAGGTCCTTCTCTGAAGCTATGAAGCAGGTAAGTCCCCAAAACCACACAGATAAAACTCAAACTGCATTCCATGGTGCTTAAAAGCTCAGTTGTCAGGTGTTACCTGCTTGCACGACTGTCGACACTCCAAGCCAATAGCTAGTTCACAGCAGCCTAAGCCAACCCAGCCATCAGACTTCTTAAACACACCTGAGAAACAGAATGTTCAAACATTTCGGTCATAATGACAATGAAGACAGACAGTATATAAACGAACAGCTAGTATTATAAGTCAAGGGATATCTGTGAGAGAACTAGCTCACACAGCAGGGCCTCACGGCACTTACGCACACCCCCGGCCTCACTCCCAATGGCGTCCGTCTCCTGAGAGCTGCACACTGCGTGACTATCAGGCCCTTTGGTTCTATCCTTTTTTGCTCACCCTGAACTCTGTCATTCTCAACCTTGGGTAAGCATCATCTCTATGAGAGGACATGCAAGTACAGAAAGGCAGGGAGAAAGGCCTTTTCCTTTATTTGCTACTGTGAATCACATACAAATAAAGGTTAAAATACTAAGTATGTAGAACAGCATAAAACTCGTTACTGTGCTTAAAACTGATACAGAGAAAACAGGAGCAATTCCTATGAGCCAGTCCTGGCTTTGATGGGCACCCCTAATCATACAAAATGACTACGCACTATTTTGGCTTAGTTGGCTTCCTAGTAGTCACACACTCTCACTCTGAGAATAGTGAACACTGTCTGTGTGGCTCATAAGCTATGTGAGCTGATATTCATAATGCATATATACCCATAACCTTAGAAAACAAAAGTATTCAACAAGTTCTTTCCCTTTTGTATCTCTACTGCCTGCAAGCTAAGCCATCACATTCTACATGGGATAGACAAAATAGACAAAAATACGTAAAAAGTACACAAGCTGGGTGTAGCAGCGCACACCTGTGATCCCAGCACTCAGGGAAGCTGAGGCAGGTGGATCTCTGTGAGTTTGAGGCCAGCCTGGCCTACAAAGTGAGTCCAGGACAGCCAGGGCTACACAGAGAAACTCTGTCTCAAAAAAAACACCAAAAAAAAAAAAAAAAAAAAGTAGCCCCTTGGGGAGAGTCTACTTTGGTCCAAACAGAAGTACACTGCTCAAAGTGTCTGCAATACAAACTTCAGAGAATGCGACATTCCTTACAAGCTCAGGAAATATAAGGCATATTCCTTTTTTCTAAGCATTGGCTTTAGGGCTCAAAACTGAGTTTCAGTTCTAGAAAACCATGAATGTCAGGGTACAGAGATTAGGCTTTACTGCAATGGAAGCAAAAATACACTGACGTATTCTTTCTGAAGTTGATGAGAAAGACAGATACAATGCACTTAGAAATTAATCATAACTTTATTGTAATATTCTAGCCCAAGAGTGTAGTAACAAAGACTTAAGCTGGGAATAGAAAAGACAGATACAAGAGCTTGCGAAGGGTATGTCACTGGAACTAAAAAGAAAACGCAGTCAAAGGTAATTTTCAGTTTTCTTTTCTTTTTCTTTTGGTTTTTCGAGACAGGGTTTCTCTGTGGAGCCCTGGCTGTCTTGGAACTCTCTATAGACCAGGCTGGCCTTGAATTCAGAGATCTACCTACCTCTGCCTCCCAAGTGATAGGATTAAATTTGTAGCTTTCTGTCCTAGTCCCCTTCCGCTAATTTTGGTTTTGTACTTCTGACATTTCCCAAACACAGAGATCCAGGCAGTGAGGTATGCCAGTCACAAAGAGCAAATGCTCGTCCTAGAGGAGACTGGTAACAGCTTAGCTGTCTAGTATGGGAGGGGTGGGAAGACTTCTGCATATCAGAACAACTACAAAAGAGGAGCAGGGGACAGAGCGAAGGTTAAAGCCAGGGTGAAATTAGAGGGAGGGAGTAGTTGCTAAGCTCACATGTTACAGCAACATCAGAGAACACAAACATTGGGAAAACCTGACAGGTCTAGAAATCAAGAGGTCCTGGTGATCCTTCAAAGACTAGTTTCAGGAGAACAGCAAAAGTGGAGGTAAGAGTTACAGTTAGGGCTGAGCATGATAGCACACACTTTTAATCCCAGCATGGCAGAGGCAGAGGCAGAGGCAGAGGCACTTGGATCTCTATGAGCCTGAAGCCAGTCTGTTTGTTCTACATGGAGAGTTCCAGGCCAGTCCAGCCAAAATTACTTAATGAGACTCTGCCATTAAAAAAAAAATAATGCACAGGACTGACAGGATGAGACTAAACTATGGGTTTATTTGAAACTATGGGTGCTAAAGCCAAAGAGAGGCTAAAGTCCCTGAACAGTCACAGCGCTTCCTTGGAAGCCTGCTGATGTCTGGACCCCTGTAAGGAGGGGAGAAGCAAGGAGTGCACACCACAGCCCAGGCACTCCTGCGGCAAGATGGAGGCTGACCCTCACAGCCAGTGAGCAACAAACAGCAAGGAGACCCGCTCAACACGCAGTCCTGAGCACCAACGGAAAGCCGGACATGTGCTCACTCCCATGTACACAGACACACACACTCATACCATGCAACAAGTAAATCATTCTTAAAACCCTTTCTACAAACCAGGTTTAGAACTATGGTGTGGATTTTACATTCATAAGGTAAGCGTGCTTACCTGGCAAAGAGGAATTCATGCAGCTCCAAACTTCAACCTGAAATCGTAATGACCAAATGCTTTACTCACATAACCAGGTTTATACATGGCGATTTCCACAGAGACGGGTTAGGGCTGGCAGCCTATAGTCAATGTCCTAAGGCTAAGCCATATGAAAAATCATAATAAAAGCTGGGCCAGTGTGATAGTTCAGTAGGTAAGGGATGGTGTTGCCATGCCCAGGCCCCTTAGACCCTGATGGAGGAATGAGAGAAGCACTTGCATACATTCTAGCCTCAGTGCCCTGGCTGTGTGTACACACACACACATGTAAACCGAAATTGACTCCAAGAATGAGGACTACTGCATATTCTTCTCTTTTCTCGTTAGCACTGAGAATGAGCCAGGGTGCTCGGGTTATTTATTAAAGTTACCTTTTCTGGGGGCTGGAGAGATGGCTCAGCAGTTGGGAACACTGACTGCTCCTCTAGAGGACCTGGGTTCAATCCCAGCACCTACACCACAGATCACAACTGTCTATAACTCTAGTTCCAGGGCTATGCACATATATGCAGGTAAAATACCCACACATAAAATAAAATAAAGTTACCTTTTCCAAGCGCACAGAGTCTGCTGAGCAGCTTAAGGAAAAGAAGTCAGGACTGACTGACCATCATCAGCCTCTCCCCACTTCCACACAATAGATGCCACTAGATCTAATGTGCTTTCTTCCTGATTCAGACCTCAGAGTATCAATAACAGTGTGCCCAAAAATGGAGAGTTAGAAATAAGCCACATACTTTCCCTTATCTCAAATTCAACCTTCCAAATCCAAATAAATGTAAGATTTAGTTATTATAGCTTCATGAAATTAGTCAAATCAGTGATAAGATTCTAAATTCTAGATGAAACACTTCAGTGAAATGTGAAGACTGGAAAAATTTTATATTTAATACTATTTCTATACCTAGGCCCTAAAATAGAAGATAAAAAGTGAAAGACACTAATCTAGTTAGCAATTTGTAAGAAGATTTTTTAAAGGTTATGTTTAAAATTTTATTCTGATCACACATTCCAACCCCACTAAGAAGTTTAGTAAATGTAAGAGTAACTCCGATGACTTCACGCATGCAGAGCTTCGCGGCAACTCACCATCGTCTCTGGGCAATAATCTGGGGCTCTCTGCAAAAGATGTTTCAGCCGGGATTCACTTTTTGAGGAGAAAATCTATTTGACAAAAAGAAGAAAAGGGCAAAACCCTTTGAGACGTTTTCTAAGGGTGAAAGTGTCATCCTCTGGATGTGTGGGTTTCCTGGAGTGCTTGACTCTGCAAAAGGATGGTCTGAGGGGCCTGCTCCAGGCTGTGGGAAGATTTGTCACACTTGCTCTCACTACCTAGCCTAGGCTGGATGGATTCAGGAGCCTCCTGCATTGGCCTCCAGAGTGCCAGTTTCTGAGGTAACATTCTTATACCATTATTTGGGAAGCAACAAGGAAGTTCAATCTATAATAAGTTGGGAATCTAACACTCTATTGGGGGTAGGAATAAAAGACTCAGAGAGAAGGAAAGAGAAAAGGAAAAAAGATAACAATTCTAACTGTTTACAAGTTGTTTTCATCAACTGGCGGTAATTTCAAAACAGGCCATGTTTATTTTACCCTTGCTATTAGTGAGGTGAAATTTGCTAAACACCGAACTTCAGAAAGTGCCCTGAAATAGAGACAGCCATCTCTGGAGGCACACGCTGAGGGCTTGCAAGGTTCACTTTCAGGTTGGGTGACTAAGTGACCCACTCACATCGGAATTTCACTAGTACAATTACAGCTTGGTATCTCAGTAAAATACAAATCCTTATGTCACACAGAGACCTTCACAGTCACCTGCAAAGTTAAGGCTGTAAATGGTAAGGACAAGGAGGAAGATTTCTTTCCAGTTAAGTGTGTGCAGTAGCACTTGTCCCCATAACTTGCTGCTCTAATTAAAAAGTAACAGGAACTAGAGTATCAGCATTTTGCAATGTCTAGCGGGTCAGTGCACTTAGGCAACTGTCAGCAGTGCTGTTAGACTAACCAAAAGGGACAGCCAGACCTGTTATCATTCGTGAGGAAGACTTGCCAAACAAAGCAGGCAAAGAACCTTACAGTCCAATCAAGCCTCTGCAGATGTAAATCAAATCTGGCCACTCAATTTAAATGTAAGTCAAATAAATACAGAAGCGGGCATGGGGGCGCATACCTGTAATCACACACACACAATGGGGAAAATCACACTCAATGTGGTGGTACAGGCCTGTAACTCCAGCCTCTGGGAAGAGAAAGGAGGCCATACCTAGTGCATAGTGAATTTGAGTCAATAATTAAGTAAAACAAAAACTTGAAGTCCCAGGCTCTGTAGTCACAGTTTAGGTATGTGAAGGCTAAATCTTGTTTTTCACCTTGACTACATTTGGAAGTAACTGCAACCCAAGCATCTGGGAGCACGTATGGGTGCTTTTCTAGTTTCATGATTTGACCCTAAACCAGGATCACTTGTGGCCAGAAGATCCACCCTCAATCTGGGCCATACCTTTGGTGCACCACACATACAAGGACATGGAAGACGGAGGGGTGCCTTCCCTCACTCTCCCTGCTGAGTTCATCTCTCCTGAGCCACTCCTTCACTGGGGCTAAAATCTACTTCCACAGGACTCCAATGTGGGCAGGAAACTGACAGCTCTCTCAGACTTCCCTGGCTCCAATACCAGACTGGGGCTACTGAGCTCCCAGTCTCACAGAGTGAACAACTACTGGCTCCTTGGCCTTTCTGTCAGGAGACAGCCATTGTTGGGCTGCTCAAACCACAGCCTGTAAGGCGCGAGCGTGCATACACACACACACACACACACACACACACACACACACACACACACACACACCTGACAAGCCAGAATAGTGGCTCTGAGTGACGGGACAGCCTGGCCTTCTATCGGGGTTGAATCTCGGTGGCTAAGGAAAGGTTACAGTGATGTTGAGTGCTCCGTACCTATTCTTCCGTTCACTGGTATGGAAATTTCAATACGTTTTTTTACTTTTTTATATCTCAATTTCTTTACCTATAAAACAAAGATGACATCATCTTCAGTCTATTACTATAAAAATTTGAATAGTACTGAGCACAGTACCTCTCAAATTCTAAGGCTAAAAGCAGCCCTATAATAAGAGGAAGCTAGGGCCTTTCGAAGAGGGATTGCTTCAGTAGAATTTGCATACTCAACTAGAAAAATTCAAACTATAAAAACATTTAAAAGTAAAATAGTGAATCCATGGTGTCCAAGAGGTCTATCAGTTATCAACACTTCACATTTGCTTTGACTCTCAGAATTGATTATTTTAGGGCTCATTAGAGACAGTGGGATTATTTGGTCCTACACCCTAGCATGGGCTTCAGATATAGCTCAATTGATAGAACGCTTGCCTAGCATGGTGAAAATCTTGGGTTCTAGTCCCAGCACTGCATAAATTTGGTGTGGTAGTGTACAACTGTAATCCCAAGCTGAGATACACGAGACACTGTCAGTTAGAAACCCCAAACAAAACCAAACCCAGACAAAAATACCCCAATTAAATTTAACATAATCCTTTTAGAATGAGAACTGTCACACAGCTAACCACAGTTCAATGACCAAGTTCAGGGTCACAGCACTAACAGGACACTATCAGTTCATATTCAGGCCATAATCAAATTTCGCCAATTCACCTCACCAATTTTTGTTAAGAAACTTCTTTTTCATTCCAGGAATACTCATTGTATATGGCTGCCAAGTTTTATCAGTTAATTTCATGTGGAATCATTTTTGGCCTTTCTTTGCATTTTAGCAGTGATATTTTTAATATATCTGAAATGTCCAAAGAGTACAGGCTATTGTTTCAAGTGACAGCCCTTGGTCCGGGTTGGCCTGATAGTTTCCTTTATTTTTCGGGTTATGATATTGTGTCTCTTTATAGTGCTTCATGTCAGTTAACACATTATTTGTGGCGTAAACCGTGTGTAGGCTGTTATACAGCAGACTTTTGCAAAAACAAATTTAGAAATTACTCATCTGACTGTGTTCACAATTACCCCCAAGCTTACCTGTTCACACACGTCACGGCACATCTGGTTATCCTTTGAGTGACTACAACACACAGCACCTAGGAGAAAAGGAGGCGTGACGTCTCACTGTTAACAGACGGTTCTTTGTTGTTTTCTGTTTCTGAGGAAGGCCCTCCTAATATGTAACACAGGCCTCACACCCTGTGTCCTCCCGACTGAGCCTCCAACGTGCTGTGTTAGAGGCTGTTCCTGAGATGTGTACTGACACATCTGTTGTCATTATTCATTTTAACTCCAGCTTCAATGAGAATCTATTACAACTAAGGTGCTAAGTTTGGATACAGGGTCTTTACTCTAAAGAAACTAATAGGAAAGACTTTCATATAATAAAAAGTGTCATAACATAAAAAGTTACTATTTAATGTGTACTTCCTACATTTTATACTAAGAGTGAGTTATATATTATATTTTTTAGTCTATAGATTATTCTATGAGTGCTCACTTCAGGAGCACATATACTAAAATACAGAGATTGGCATGGCCCCTGAGCAAGTATGACACGCAAATTCGTGACACATTCCATACTTTTTGATGATTTTCATCCATAATTTCTTTAAATACTATAAAACAGACAATACTCATATTATTTAGACAGGAAGCTGTCTAGAATTAGCATTGGGGTTGTGGATTATGACTGCTAAACTACATTGTCTTTTGTCAAAGACGGGGCAGTTGGACTTTCTTCAGAACCAGACAAGTATGTGCTGCAGATGGGTAACAGATTCTCATGAAAACTATTTAGTACCTTTATCTAGTCATATTATCAATGTAGATAAACTGTTTTATGATAAAAAGATTATTCTATGGACAATATTTTATTAACTATAACAGAAAGCTAACTTGTTTTTAAAATGATGAATTTTGTCAGGACTTGTTGGATTTGAGATTTCTATAGGACATTCAGATGGAAATACTGGTAAAGTCCAAAGTCAAAACTTGGAGTACATCTCAGAGCCCAGCCTAAAGAGCCAAATGCCAAGGCATGAGTATAAAGGGTGTAAAGAGATACAGCGTTATCTATGGGGAGTTTCTGCTGGAACGTAAATACAGCACCAAACCCCGATGAACAGCAACACCTGAGATACATAAAGAAATGTGGCTGAAATACAGCAAGAGGGTCAATCACTAAGTGACACCCAAGCAATGGCAGGTGCCCAGAGATAGAAGACAGATAGAAGGCTGAAAAAGAAAACAAATTTGCTTAGAAAGCCACCTGTTGGCTGGGTGTGGTAGCCTGTATCTGTGATCCTAGATTTGGGGTGAAAAAGCAGAAAGATTAGGAATCCAAGGCCAGTCTGGGCTACATGAGACCCTGCCTCAGAAAAAAAAAAAAAAGCCACCTACTGAACATCCCAGATAATTCCTTTTCGTTTATTCACTTGCTTCTTTATTTATTTTGCATGTGTGAAGTGAAGGAGAGTAGTCAACATATGGGGAGAAACTAGGAGAAAGAACTGTGAACACAAATTCCCTGAAAAAAAAAAAAAAAAAAAAAAAAAAACACTTTTAGTTGTATATTCTCCAGACTTCCTGAATGGGCTTCCTGATTGCGGTAGACCTAATCATCTTGAGCTGTCTTTAGTAAGAGCCATTTATCAACCACCTCTGTACCAGACAAGGTATCCTTTCAACTATCAGGTAAAATCTCTGGAACGTATCAACTCAGGATATCATTAACCAGCTTCCACTAGCCCCCAAATTAAGAGTGTAACCAAATAGCAGCTGGAGCCTAGAGTAGAGAGCAACCCACCCACAGATCTGGTAACTCTAAAAACTATTGATTTATTACTTTCTTCTGCTGTCTGACTACAGAAGTTTTTCCACAATGGACCATGTCATCTAGGTAACCAGAATCCATGTTTCTGGGCCATGGTCACTCATGTTTTGTGCAGAATAAACTATTTCTTATTCCTTTTAGAGAAAGAGCTTGTTCTGCCTGCTGGAACAGTGACCAAGAAACCAAAGAAGTAACATGTTTCTAGAAGGCAGCATGTGCTAGAAGCTGCTGTCATATGATGTGGAATTCACAATGATCACAGTATTTAGGAATCTCAAAGTCACTGTTATCAGTGTGGACCAGCGAGGGCAAAGCTCATCTCAAGAAGGTACACACACATCCTCTTCCCAGGATTAGGCTGTACAGTGAAGAATCTCAGTGGCTTTTGTTCTAGCTCTTGAGAGGGGAGGCTGCAGGTCCTTGGGATTTCCTCTACCACAGGAGTGTCTTTGCTGTGATATGAAGTAAGCCAACTGGATGGCTTCAGGACAGGGCTAGCCAGGCCTAAAGGACTAGCACTGTAACCAGGGGGTTGGGGATTTGAGAGATTTATCAACTTGGCCTCTCAATCTTTGGTGGTGGGAGGGGAACACAAATTGAATTTAACCATTTGACAATAATTCACTTAATCCTAGACAAGGAAACTGACACAGAAGCTCAGTGAAGCTTACCTGGCTGGCGATTTCACCGATAAGCTAGGGAAATTTTATATATGTAAATGTACATTGATTCTGCTGGGTCTGGTGGACATGCCTTTAAGCCCAACAGAGGCATCTAAATACAAGGCCATCCTGGCCTACATAGTGAACCTGAAAGGGTTAGACTAACTTTGTAACCTATATGTCTTCTAAAGCCTATAGTTTTGAGTTTTAGGTTCAGGTTCAGCTAAAGCCTCTTAGTACCTTTCCAGAGAATGGAAAAATGTGACCCTATCTATGAGGACAGATAGAAAAAAAAGGCAAGCAAGCAATGACCTTCACTCAGCAAAAAGAAAAACTCCTGTCTTTGAGATAGCATTTCTTAGCAACAAACCTAGACTTCTTCTGAGAAGCTTTTGACCTTCAGCCAAAAGTCTGTAGCCCCTAATCTTCAAGGATGAGCTAACCACCCCCACCTTCAATTGCAGCTGCATCCACACTTGGCAGGACTGGCCAAGCTTGAGCACCTAAGACTAACCAATTATCTTACTTTATAGCTTCCTCGTCCAATCCTAGATTGCCAAGACTGCAACTTCAAATCTCCCGCAATTTTTCTTTTAAAAACCTAAAGGCCTTTGTCTCCCGGTGCCACTCTTTGCTGACCGGCAGGGGTGACCCTATTGCGCAATGGTTAATAAACCTCTTGCTTTTGCAACGAGTCTTGGTCTGGGGGAGTTTCTGGGAAGGGTGTGATCTTGAACTCCTGAGCTGTGAGACCCCAGGTCTTACAAACCCTGGCCAGACAGTGCTACACAGTGAGACCGTTTCAAAACTAAACTGTACACATGCGCGCACACACACACAGATTCCCCGAGAAGGACAGAAAGCTCTGTGTTGCCTCCGGACCTGGGTCCGTGAGTTTTACTTGGCTGGTCCTCCAGGCTCTGATCCTTTATACAGACAGCAGCTGTACACTAAGCTTGTACTCTTCCTGGAGCTACTCTGCAAAGAGTAATTTGAAGTATACTGCTTCCCTGAGCTCTGAGTTGTTCTAGTGAGCTACTAATGGTCATGGGAACATTGGCTCTGTACTCAGATCAAAAGTCTGTGAGCTGGGGCTGGAGAGACAGAGCTCAGTGGTTAAGAGGGCTTGCTACTTTTCCAATTTCAAGTTCAATTCTCAGCACCTACGTGAGGCAGCTCAAAACTGCCTCTAACTGTAGCTCTAGGGGATCTGACAGCCTCTTCTGGCCTCCACAGGCACCTACCCACACATGGCGTACAACCTAGTGAGACAGGAGCTAGCTTCCTTAAGCAGTGAGGGAGAGCACAGGGAGGGATCCGGAGCTAGTTGCAGCACGTGGACCCTTCCCGAGTAAGTTACTGGCTGGGCCTGTGGAATCCTTGATGGCATAGTCCCCACGCCTTCAAACATGATCAACTTACCCGCTACCCAACCCCCTCCACAGACTCCACGAAAGATCCCGGACAGGATGGCATGCCGCGCTCCCCCAGCAGGCCCTTCTCACTCCCAGGAGTTTTTTCTTGTGATCTTTGCTCTGATTGTTTGCGCTGGTCAATCCTTGTCAATGATTCTTATTCTTGGGCATGAGACAACATACTCAAAAGCTCCTGGCTAGGGGGACTCTGGTGACTGACTGTCCAGCGTCTTCAACTCCGCAGTTAAGGCCACCATGAGCCAGGAAAGGCTCCACTGCACTCAGAGAACCTGAAGTAAGGTTGACATGTGCGGAAGGCAATCTTGGTGAAGTTGTGCACTTTAGCCAGCAGGGGCCAAGCAGACTCGGGGTGGTCACGGCAGAACTGGATTGTAGTATATCCAACTGGAGGTCAAGCAGAAAGAGGAATGGGGGTATGGGCTCAAGAGGGGGTACTGTGCTTGCAGATAGGAATACTACAGTGAACAAAGACTTGTACTCTTTAACTTCAGGTAAGTTACAGTCCTGTGGTAGCATAACCAGAATTTTAGGGACAAAATGTTCAGGTTCTGGCAGCACCAACTGGTTAGGCTTGGCTACCTATCTTACTTAACACACCAATCAAAGAGATGACTAAAAGTAAAAACCAGAGGTCTAACAAGTGTGCTTAAAAAACAAACAATGGGTCCAGGGACCCTAAGTTTGTCTTTAGGGCACTGATAGGTCACTTCCATTTTAAATAGAGAAGGAACTGAAGTAGTGGGCAAGAGGTTTATATAATTAAGCAGCCCCGGCTAAGGTGTGGTCTGGATGACCTCTGTCTCAGTTTTCACAAACAGGGTCCTAAGAACTTGTTAGAGCTGTCATAAGCCGGAGGGGACCCATCTGGTTCCTATACAATGATTCCTTCTGCTCCAGGAGGCACAGGAAGAGTGCTGTGTCCTGCAAGGTTTGGCTGTCCCTGCAGGTTTAGGACGATGGCTTATCTCTGTGACTTCAGGCTTGAAGGGAGTGAAGTGGATCAGGGAGACAGGTGGCCCTTGAGTGACTAACATGCCTAAGTTAAAGGGAGGGAAAGAGACAGACACAGAGTGAAGGGGGAGATGCCAGGCTTCATTTGGCTTTTAAGTTACCTTGTGGGTGGAGAGTTCAATGCCTTTTATGAGACACAGTTTCTAAGTGTC